AGAGGTGGCGGCAAAGGCAAAGAAGGAGAAGGAGACGGAGATGGAGATGACGGAGATGGAGGAGGAGGAGGAAGAGGAAGGGGAAAGGGGGGAAGGAGAAGGAAGAGGAGAAGGAGAAGCAAAAGCAGAAGGAGAAGGAGAGGCAGGAGGAGGAGAAGGAGAAGGAGAAGAAGCAGCAGCTGAGGCCTTTAGCTCCCAGCCACTGAATTTAATCCCCACTACTGGAACAAGAAGAAGGAAGGAGGGCATGGGGCAGATGACAAGACAAATATTTCAAACCTCACAGCCTCCAGCTCCTCTAAAAAATGCCAGTAGAAGGCCAGGTGTGGTGGCACATGCCTGTAATCCCAGCACTGGTGAGGCTGAAAACAGGATCACTAGGAGTCTGAGCTGCATAGTGAGACTTAAAAAAATAAAAAGCCCACTACACACCATTACCACCACCAGTAATAACACACAAAGGAGAGCATGTGTTTTTTTCCCCTATATCATGCCCTGATCCAAGGGTTTTATACACAAATGAACTACATCCTCCAAACTTTACACAATCCATTTACTATTACATCATTGTCTTTCTTTCCTTCGGGACACAAAGGCCACCAAAAACTAAGAGACATGGATTTAGGTAACACAGGTGAGGTGCCCAGCAACCTTTCTCCACTCAGCACTACAGAAGTGACATGTGAACACCAGTGACACCATGATGTAACACAAACAACAGGTTAAGCATGTATATGTTTGTTCTTGCATATTGATGCATCTGTCTGTACCAAGTTTACACCTGGTTGAGAAGACAGACATTAAGAAAATAGCTGCAGCTGGGCACGGTGGTGCACACCTGTAATCCCAGTACTCGGGAGGCTGAGGCAGGAGAATTGTTGCAAATTTAGAGCCCAGCCTGTGCTTCAAAGGGAGCTCAAGGCCAGCCTGAACTGCATACTAAGACCCTGTCTCAAAAAGACAAAGAAAAAAAAAAAAAAAACCTGTGTGGTCGCTCCACCACAGTATAAAATGCCTCTAGGGGTCTTTTTAAAAATTATTACAGGGGCTGGGGAGATGGCTCAGTGGAATAAGCGCTTCCCTAGCAAGCGCAAGGATCTGAGTTCAATCCCCGGTTCTGCCAAAAAATAAAAAATAAAAATAAACAAATAAAAATTGTTACATATCCAGTTTTTAAAATTGAGAATTGAGCCCAAGGGACAATTTAAGAGTGTGATGCCCAAGTTCACACAATTAATACAAAGAGACTAAGCACTCTGCTCTCGGGCTGGTGCTCTTTCTCTAGGAAGTGACAGTGATTCATCCAGCCCTTCACTTACCAGGCACCCAGAGCTTCTGCATAAGCACATGCAACCTTCCTCACACACTTTTAAAGAACTTCTCAATCATTCATTTTTTCAGTAATGACCCCAAACGAGTAGTGCTTTCCAAGGGCCAGGGGCCCCTTTGCAAGGCATTGAGCCACCTCATCTGCATGATCTGTTTCCCCCATCTCAGTTACTCTTCTCTCATTGCAGGGACAAAATACCCAACACCTGAAATGCAGGAAGGAAAGATTTATTTAGCTCACAGTTAGTGGAAGTTTCCGTCCATACTCAGCTGGCTCCCAGGAAGAGCGACACATGGAGCGGAACAGCCATCCTTGGCAGCAGACAGCAAAGGCGAAAAGCAAAGGGAGGGCCAGCAGCTCAGGCAGCGAGCTGGCTTCTCTCCCCTCCTTCCATTGTCATGCGTTACCCGCCCCAGGGCCAGGGGGTAGCACTCACACCTACAATCCCAGCATTGGACCAAGAATTAATCCCAAACTCCAGAGGTGGCCCCATGGCTGCATGAGGCTTTGGGGGGACAACTAGACACAAACTATAACACCCCCTAAACCCAACACTAACCCAGCCCTCCCTCCTTTGGCTTTCAGCCCGAGACAGTGATGGAGCTGAGGAGGATGTAGCATTAACTTCCTATGGTTCTCCCATTCAGCTGCAGGTAAATGTGCTCCGCTTGTTCTCGCAGGAGGGATGGAGCCACCACACCTTCCTTTGAAGAACTTTCTGGCTCCACTTGCAATAGCCTTACTGACCTAAGACATGCAAGTCAGGGCAGGATCGTCCCCAAAGGCGGGTAGAGCTTGTGCCGTCCAGCTCGGAGCCACAGCAGAGGAGCACAAGCTAGGAAGGGCACCCATTCTCCTCTGCCCACACCTGGGAGGCTCCTGTCTATTCCGATGCAAGTGAATGTCCCTGGAAAGGAAAGGGAACATAAGGGGTTGTAGGAGGGGGAAGAGGAGCCAGTGACTGGATTTGGCATTGAGGACAATGGAAGATGGTAAATCTGAGTGAGTCCTGGGTCTGGTCTTGGTAGAAGTTGTATGTCTCCATCCATCCCCTGAGCAACTCTCATTGACTCTCTGAATCACTGTCTACCTCCAGCCCCAAGGCTGCCCCCAAGAGCAAGACTGAGAGAAAATCAAGGAACACGGCTGAGTAGATTGGGCATAGCTCACACCACTACTGTGATGGCCCCAGACACCAAAAATACCACTTTGGGACACAGCATTTGCATGATGGGGTTCAAAAGCCGCACCCAAGAATGAAAGGCACATTCAGACTGCTTGTTTAAGGCAACTAGCTAAGCTAAGCCCTCTAGACTATTATCCGAGATTGCCTTTTTCTAGAATGACACAAGGACCAAGATGTAGCTATAAATCATTTGCTCTAATTAACCCTCAGGAAAGTATTTACACAGTGAAAAAATCTTTATTATCCCCTCTAAGACTTCCTTGGATGCGTTTCAATATCTAGTAATCAACTGTTCCAGAGCCTTGCAAAAAGATTCCTGTTAGTGCCTAAGAAGGCAGCCTGAGACCAACAGGCTCAGTCCACTTTTTTTTTTTTTTTTTTTTTTTCTATTTCATTAACAAAGAATTAAATGATGGTGAGATGAGAACATTTCCAGCACAGTTCAGGAGATGTTTGTCACCCACACTGGCTCAGAATGTTGACAGTGGCATTTCTTCCTTTGCAGACTGTTGATACTACACAAGAGTATCTCATCCCCCGGGCAACGCTAAGCCCCCAGCAAGATGCAGAGTTGTAACATCTACCAGAAACGTGAACAGTGGAAGTCCAGGAGTGCAGCCTGACCCAGGTGACCGGGATAGGCCACTGGAGGGCTTGCAGGTCACGCTCCCCTCAGTGTGTCTGCTGATGCCACCTCCTCCGCCTCCTAGCCCTTCCCCCCATTTTGGACCCTTCATCGAACAACAGCCCTTTCGAGAAGAATTACACTCTTGCTGGCCACCCTACCTTGTCTGCTTGTCTCTTTCTTCACTCAGGTAGCTGCACTAGCCCTTTCCTAGCAAACCTGGAAAGAATTGGTTCTGCTCATTAGTGGCATTGAAAAACCTTGGCCTGGGCCAGCGAGATAGCTCAGTGGTCTAAAGCGCCTGCTTAGGCAAGCTTAGGCAAAGCACAGGGGGACCATGGTTCATCCCCAGCACCACATGCCACACCAGCCCTGCCCCCAGGGTGGGCTGAGCCAGCCAGGAAGAAAAAAAACAAAAAAAACTTGGCCTGAGAAATTAGTCTCATTCTAACATGACAAAGTAGAGATCTTAGTAGCAACTTTACTGATTACTCCACTGGTTAGTATCTTTTAGTCTTTATTTATTTTTTTATTGGTCTTTTTGAGACAGGGTTTTCCTGTGCAGTTTAGGCTGGCCTTGAGCTCACTTTGTAGTCCAGACTGGTCTCGAACTCACAACCATCCTCCTGTCTCAGCCTCCCAAGAGCTGAGATTATAGGCATAATCTCACTACCACATCTAGCTAACCTCACAAAATTTACCAAACCACATTTGAGTGTTCAATTAAGTACACTGACCCTGTAGTATGCAAAGATCTCTAGAACTATTTCTTTCAGCAGAACTAAAATTCTATGCCCACTAAACACCACTCCCCCGGCCCCAGCCCCAGGCTTCCACCATACTGTTGTCTGTCTCTACAACTTTGACTACTTTAGATGCCTCCTATAACAGAATCACAAAGTATTTGCCTTTCTGTGACTGGCTTATTTCACACAGTACAATGTCCTCAAGGTCTATCCATACTGTAGCATATAACCGGCTTTCCTTCTCTTTGAAGGCTAAGTAACATTGTACTGTATGGATGCACCACATTTTCTTTATTCATCTGTCAGATATTTGAGCTGGCTCTGCTTTCGTATACATGCCCAAAAGTGGGATTTCTGGATCAGATGACAGTTCTATTTTTAAGTTTCTGAGGACCCTTCAGATTGCTTGCCATTGTGGCTGCACCAGTCATTTCACATGTTCACCAAGAGCAAACAGAGTTCCAGACTCTCCACAACCCCACAGATGCTTGTTAGTTCCTTGGTGTTTCTGCGTAGAGTGGCCATCCTAGTGAGTACGTGATGTCTAGTCATTTTTCCTAAAGAAATCTGAAAGGCTGGGGAAGTAGATACCTGGTGGAGGGCTCATTTAGCATGCATGAGGCCCTAGAATTGACCCCCCAGTGGAGAGATGGAGAGGGGGAAAGGGAGAAGAAGAGGGAGAAAGGGAAAAAGAGAGAGGGAGGAGGGAGAGGGAGAGAGAGACTACAGAAAGAGATGGAAGCAAGAGATTACTGCAAGCTTGAGGCCAATCTAGGCTACACAGTGAACTCAATGCTGGTATAGACTACCCAACAAGACTCTGTCTCAAAAAAAAAAAAAAAAATTGGAATTTTCTATAAAACTTATAGCAGAATCCTCAGGATCACTCCACCTGGCCAATGTATTTACAATGGACTGAGGGCTGTCAGGTTCCTCCCCTGGTGTCACCACCCCATCACAGTGACCAGGGCAACAGATGGTGACCCTTTCGATGAAACAATAAGAGCAAAAGAACAGCCACTCCAGCTGGTGCTCATAAAGGATGCTAAATGGTGAACATAAAACGCAAAGTCTGCCTCTTTGTTTCTAGCAAGCCGAGCCTCTGCACTCGCTGTCTTGCCTTCATTTCTCATGCAGCCCATGTCCTCCACCCATGGTCTCTGTGACCTTGACAGGATCCGTTTCAGGGCCTGCCTCCAAAAGCATCCTAGGTAGCATTCTTTCCTTGAGGAGGAGGAAACAGAACCTTGGAGGAAAAGGATGACGTACTGAAAGCACACAGAGTTAGCGATGGGCCCGTCTTCTCCCCCCACGAGGGGCTTCTGCACACCTGTATTTCCATGTTACCAAGAAAGGCACATCCCCCTTGAGAGCCCAGTGAGCTATTCAGCTAGGGAGTGCTGAGTGCCTGCTACGTGAGCGCACTGTGAAAATCTAGACTCTTCCCATGCACGAGCGTCTTTCAGTGAACAATGTACTGCACGGATTTTTCAATAGCGGCAAACATTTCCGAGCATCTGCTAGGTGCCAGGAATTATTCTAGGATTTGCCCTAGACAAAGCAGGCAGCATTGCTTTGGCAGAGCTTACATTTCCGTAAAAAAAGGTAATACAATGGAGTGAATTTCGGGAACACGGCTGCTTTGCTTTACAGATGAGGATGAGTCTTGTCCGGGTGATATGGTTTATTAGTGGCTGAACCAGAACCCAGATTCTCCATCCTTCTCAAATGCTCATTTGCTACACCTTCATGTGTTTTTCTGCTATGTCAGAATTAGCTGCTCTCTTTTTAAACATGTGCCCTAAGCAATGTTATCAGGACAAGCCAGCTCTTCAGTAAATGCCCAAAGCACTTGACCTTCTGCCCTTCTTAGTAATAACAAAATAATAATAAAAATAAAACAAAAACTGAGTGATAATGTTTAAGCTTTTAGTCAGACCTGGACCTACAGATGAGGCAGCATTCACATAAACAACCTAATTTAAGAGGTAAAAACAAGCCATACAACCTTATTTCTGCCCTGAAGGAAAACAATTACCACTGTTTCTCCTGGCTTTTATCCCAATAACGATGACAATACCACCATCCACTTAATTTTATTTTGTTTTGTTCTTGCAGCTGGGAGACTCTACAGAGTCCACTGGCAAATTTTTTAACTTCCATTAATGCCTAATAAGAGCCACATACTGTCACTTTCTTCCCAAACATTTTTCCAAAAGTTAGTGTAGGTAAAATTCAAACAAATTGTGCTGGGGTTATAGCTCAGCAGCATAAGGGCCTGCTTGGCAAGGGCAAGGTCCTGAGTTCAATCCCCAATGCCCCCCACCCCAAAAAAAATTTAAAATAAATTTTCTCTGAAATCTCTGGCATAAGTTTACCAAATTTTACAGTAAGTATCAATGATGGTTGGGGGATTGTAGATTGTACACACATCACTAGGCTGCCTTAGGAATGGAGTTTTATTGTAAGGTTACCCCCAGCAAAGAGATAAACTCTCTCTTGGAGCCCAGTATAACCATTCAGTCCACCTGATGGAGAGCACCCAGAGGAGCTGGCTGTCCCCTATCCTGTCCCCAAAATTCCCCTCAACCGCTTTAACATGTCCTTTGTCATCTCTGCTTCTTAGTAATCTCAGCCACCCATTATCAGCTGACTGGATTCTTTCTCCAAAGGTCAGATTCCTGAGAAGGACTGTGATTGGTCCTGCTGATCATGACCTCTGATTGGGCGCTCTTTTGCATCAGCCCACCCTTATCTTCCAATCAGTCCAGGGATTGGCTGCACTTGGGTCTGTACCCTCCATTAGCCCGTTCAAGTTGTCTGGTTTGGTCCTATGGGAGAGATTTGCTCGTACATGTTTGCTATCTCTGTGGGAAGCTGTGTGCCTTGAAAAATTCTCTGGGCATCAGGGAAAGGCGTAACATGCACCAAGAGTGACCAATGCAGGCTAGAGTAATTCAGAAAATGTTATGCGTAAGATTATAGAATATTTTTATGAACATGTAGTTTAATTTCCTTTGAGTTTATATAGCACTTCACATAGCAATAAAAATCCAAACAGTCTTTTAAATAAAGATCTGCCTGGGCTGGGGAGATAGCTCAGTGTCATAAGCACCTGTCTGGCAAGCATAAGGTCCTGAGTTCAATCCCGGTACCAAATAATTATGAATAAATAAATAAATAAAATAAAGGTCTGCGCAGGGCATAGTGACACACACCTATAATCCCAGCACTTGGGGGGGCTGAGGCAGGAGAATCACTTCAAGTTCAAAGTCAACCTGAGCTACATAAGCAACTTCAAGGCCAACCTGCACTACGTAGTGAGACCCTGTCTCAAAAAACCAAAAATAAATAAGAGGAAACTTCTTAAAAGAAAAACCATAATTGACATATTTTACCCAATTATTAAATTCACCAGGTATTTGAAAATCTAAATTTATCTTGAATGCGATGGGCTACATAATTCAAGTGGTGCTTATTGTTTTAAATATACTAGGCAGTTTCCATGTGGCTTTATTTTATCCAAACAAGAACATATCCATGAGAAACCTCATTTTAAAATACCCGCCAGGTATAACAGCTCAGTTGGGCTAATAAAATATCTACCCAGGTCGAGCTAATATTTCTTTCCTCTTGATCGTCTTTCCCTGACTCAAAGAACATCAACATTTATTTCCCTCCCCATTAAATTTCATGACTCCCTGTATGCTTAAACAGCTTTCTATTTATTCTCTAACCCATAGTTGGATCAAGTTAAAATGTCCTCATTGTCCTTACTCATTATTTTTTGCCTTTTAGCTCTCCATTTTTCCCTACAATATCTATTACATACTAGCAAAATTCATGAGTTCTTGTTCTCCATTTCACACCTCCACAATATATTCAAAAATCTACCTCCTCCTAGAGATGTTGATGAGAGAGAGAGAGAGAGAGAGAGAGAGAGAGAGAGAGAGTTCCCACACACCAAACCCCACTTAAACTCTGGCAGAACAAGGTAAATTTTCCTCAGAGGAAGCCCAATAAGCCTCCTTTAAAAGATTACCATTAATAAGGGCCGGGGAGATGGCTCAGTGGAATAAGCACTTCCCTGGCAAGTGCAAGGGCCTGAGTTCAATCCCCGGTTCCACCAAAAAAAAAAGATTACCATTAATAAAGATGGAGCAGGGTGTTTCTTTTTGCTTTATTGACATTAAAGTTTTGCCCTTGCAGGAAGGTTTCTCAACAAATGTTAAATGGCAGTAACCACAAAACCCTTGACTTCAAGAAATAACATGACATCTGAATAAAAAAGGACATTTTCTCAGAGCTGCTCAAAATGTCTTCATGGGCCAGACCAAGGTTAAGCTCCAGTTTCTGTGAGCAGCTGTCTGCACCAGC